AGGCCTTCCTGCCTCTGAGGCCCATTCTCTACCCACTGAAAAACAGTGCTTCTCCTTCAGAGAAATAATTAATAAAATATGACTGTCTTTGTAAGGCTTTTCCTGGGACATAAATCCTCCATAAAGGTAAATACATACTGTGCAAAGGACAAATATTGCTGATTAAGTGTTCTTAGGTGACAAATGGTGCCTTCTGAATGTTCTCCATCAGCCCCATCTCAGGGGCCCAGGTCTTCTAGGTAAGTGCTGGTTTTTGTCAGTTACGCAGCCATGGAGGCTATCTTCATGTGTGAATGTCCTGCCTCCCCTAGGAATCTGGGGAATATGTTCAAGGGCTTTGCGCTCAAGCATTCACTTGGCTGTGCCTGCAGCTGTTGCTTCATGGTTGGGAATGAAACAGCAAATAAGTTTTAGGAAACGAACCTGTGCTTTGGGTTATCCACAGCATACCAAGTTCTCAGTAAACCTGCAATGAGAGGAATAAAAGGGCTTCATGAGTGAGTCACACCATTGAGGTGTATAGAAAATGTTTTTATCATGGCTAAGCTGGTGCCCTTTGAGTTTCTTTTTTTAAAAAAAAAAGAAAAGAAAAGTCTCTGTGTTTCTTCCTTTTCCAACTGTTTCCAGCCAATGGAATCGATTGGCCTCCTTCTCCACAGCCTGGCATGATGTTGGCAGTCCGGCACCTGCATGGAGCATTGATTGGCGCCCCTTCTTCCTTTTCTCTTAAAGCTTTGCTTGATCTCTATGTCCCGACTCAGTTATTTCATTTTCCAGCTTGATTTGATGCATTAGGACTTTTTGAGGAGTACGTTGTCCCACCTTCATCCACATTGATGTACCAGGTCAGGCTTTTACTCCAACGTGATCAGAGCAACTTCCAAATGAATTCATTCACCCCATTGCCAGTACCAATAGTACTTAACCTCTTAGCTCATTGAAGTACTCTCTGCACTTCCTGCCACAAGCATATCCACCAAATGCTAACTCAGACATTTAGATCTGCAGAAGTGAGTCTTGCTCTAGGTATAAAGGATTCTTGCTCTTGGTACTGGGAGACCAGAGTAACACTGCAGTATATCCTGGTATGTCTTTTAGGGAGAGGACAGTCCATCCCTGTTGCTGAGCTCACTGTCTAGTTCCTCTTACCTCCCACTGACCTCGGTGGCACCTGTTTCAGCAGTCAAGGAGGAAACGGTGAGAAGCCAAAGCACAAAGAGAGATTTTATCCTCTGAAGGTCAAATTCTCACATTGCCTGCCACCCAGCCTCCTCTCACAGGTCTCAGTGGAAAAGAGCAAAGCAAAACCTTTAGCATAGGCAGTCAGGGTATCCTGATCTTTGTGACTAAAATAAGACAGGCAGCACAATTGTTTTCTTGTTTCTTATAGCTTGGGGACCACAGGCCACATCACTCAGATTTCCTCATCTTAGTTCACCGGGAAAGAGTTTGAAATGTTAAAAGCAGAGAAAGTGAAGAAGTGGCTTAAAGCTGGATAGGAATCTCTGCTGTGCTATTTCTCAATAATAGATTTTATTTTTTCAGTCGTTGCTTCTCAGCTCGGAAATGATGAGAGATGATGGGCCCTGATTATCTGTCTGCTTTGATATAAATGTGCCCAGTTCTGTCAGGGGCTTGATGTTTTTACCCAGTTTGCTTCCCACAGGGGATGGCTGGGAGAGTTATCCACAGCCATCCTTCTTGTTGACTATAAAATCTTTACTCTGTTTTCTCTTTAAAAATTCATTTCCAACCTTTTTGCTTTTCTTTTTTTTTCTTTCTTCTGTCTGTTCTGTCCAGAACCAAACTGTCTTACTAACAACCCCCTGGGGACTCTAACCTTGCCTGCCTCACTGCTGTAAGTGATTTCTACCTTGTTTTCCAAAACTGTCTGAAGGTATCATTTTGAATAACTACTGGTTGGTATTTGTACCCTCAAAAACAAAACAAGAATACTCAAAAGATAACAGTTACTTTCTGTACTAGTTAGCCTTCCCCAGCACAATCCAATCGTTATGTGGAGGTCAGTATATGAAATAATCCCTGTGAGCCTCAGTCCACTCCCTAGCACTTAATGGGAAGAAATTGATTTTCACTTGGGTTGGGTCAAGATTGATCCCACCTCAGTGCCTAGGAGAGAGACATTTTGTAGCCATTATAATAAAAAGAGTCAGCTGCCTACAGGGCTAGACTGCTTCACAGTATGAAGAGGTATTGATTTTGTAGGGGCCTCTTTTTTCTATGACAAACAGTTCTCCAAAATTCTCCATCCAAGCTTCTGACAGAAGACTTATTTTTCCACAAAGTCCAGACCTGCTTGCCAGTTACAGTCTGCTCAACAGAAACAGTGATGTAATCTATCAATTGTCATCAAAAAATAATGAGACTTATTTTTTTTAAAAGAAAAGATATTGGAATATATACATCCAGATGCACATTGATCTTTATCTTGATAAAGATCTCTTATTCCAGTCAAGCTGCCAATGCTTGAAACATTTTTTGAGGTCTTCCTCCAAAATTGCTTTTAGAGGCAGCTTATAGCTCACACAAGAAAATTCATCTCCAGTTTTATAATCATACTCTTTTTTTTCCTGACCAAAAACATCAGCACACAGCTTAATCAATAATCTTACTCAGCAGATGAATCTAAGTTACCTTTGGCTTTTTCCAAAAACCGAGTCCATCCTCAAAGACAAAATATGACATCACTGAGGATATTCAACATAATGTCATGGGTTCTGAAGGCTATTCCACAGAGAATAAGACAATGGAATAAAAGCATGGCCTCACAAGGTGAATCCTTTGAAGGAGATAACTCTCTCTTGAGTGGACATAGAGGTCCTGGCATGTATGTTACAAAATAGGGCATGTTATTTTGTAGTCACACCTCATGCATAACCTTTCTTTACTGTGAGAACTGACAAGTATATTGATGATATCAATTTATTTTGAGTAGAGTTTTATAGCAGACAAAACATTCTAATAAAAGCCCTTTTTCCTAATCAATGTGAGAGCTAGAGGGGAAAGTGGTGGAGTAGGAAGAGTAAGAGAGAGAAGTTATGGTAATTTCAATCAAGGAAACAAAACTACAGAAGCCATTATAAAACTTCACAAAGTCCTATTAAAATATCAGAAGCCAGAACACAAATCAACATAAAATCAATACTTCACTCAGCTGGTTGTGCCTGTTACAGGCATCACGGCACATATGGCCTTCTGTCAGACAGGTCCAAAACAGAGGTATTTTTCACAAAGCATATGTTCCCTTACACTCATGAGCTGGGGTGAAATAAGGACGTGGAGCCAGTACTCTCAGTGTTGACTTGTGTCTCAGCTGCTGCTATTATTTTCCTTATTGATACAGTACCAATGAGGCCATAGGTGTTGCTAACTTTAGACTTCCTTCTGTTAACATGTAGCACTAACCACTTGGAAGGCAGGGTACATCTAAAAATACTCTTGAATGTCAGTGGTCATTTGTAAATTCATTCTGGTTACTACACAGAAAGGTAGGGAAATCACCTTTACTCTCTTGTTTTCTCATGCCCACTCAAACAGTTCAAAAGTCTCCTTCAGCTATGCTCTGTCTCAGTAGCCACCACTGACTCTTACTTGCTCCCCCAATGCCATCCATCTTTGCTTCCTGCTTCATGCCATCCAGACATCATATTGCAACGTCTCTTGCTACTGCTCTAACCAGATTTCTCTCTTATCATCCTGTTTTCTTCATGTTTCACGTCACTTGTATTAAATCTCTGTATGGTTAACTGACTGTCTGAGTACTCGCCACTCCTCTGGTTTATCATTGCTCTTTCTTTGCATAATACGGTTTATGCTTTCTGCCATCTTGTTTGCCATCTCAACTTTTGGTTCTATAATTGATTTTAGGACATAACATATACACCCTGTGTCATTAACTTTCCTCATCCCTGCTGTATATATCTTCAAATGCCATCAAATTTCCATTTATAGCTTCCTCATTTTATCAGATAAAAACTGAACTTGGCAACTCAACATTTTTTTTTAATTGGAGACACCAGTGAACCCTTTAAATTTTGCTATTCAGGGCATTGTGCAATATTTCAGTATATGTTGCACATAACCATTTTTGGTATATGTATAGGATGCCTGGAATGGAAAAATCACAGTTGTGCTTTGCCTCTAATTTTCTGATGCTGCTACAGTGAATCAATATTGAGGAAAACTAGACCCAAATTGTGATTTCTATCTATAGATAGAACTTTTTTTCTAGAGCAAAATTTTTTTCTATAGTATTAGATAGTATTTTTTTTTCACCTTTATAGGTCTTTGTTGAGCCTGTTGTCATTCAATTTTGAATACCTAGTAGTTTGTGGTCAGGTTTGTTTTCCTGTTCATCTCATTGCTAATGCATTTGGAAGAAGTCATTTATCTCAGGCTTTATTCCTACATGGACGCCAATGCAGACCGTGGCATGGCTTAACTAATCATTTTGGATATCCTTGCTGTAACTGCGTAGATCATTATTAAGAAGTGCAAAACAATTGGATCAGCTGAACATATATTTGACCAATTTAATTATCTGGCTAAAGCCACAAATTCTGCTCTCCGTGTCCTATTTACAATCCAGCCCATATACTGTGAAGCATTTCTATAATGACACTCTCTTTACATGAATTTTCTATACACAAGATTGGCCAATTTTCTTCATGCTTTAGTGTCTGTGAGTTAATGTATGCATTGATAATTTTCATTCACTAATATCGAACTTAGGTTACTCTCTCAGAAGCAAAGGAATGGTTAATTATCAAAAGTAATAATTAAAAATTGCCCACTTCTGCTCATTTCCTCCAAACATTCTCTAGCTTTAATTTGGCATTTGAACATAGAAAGACTCGCATTGTTTGTTTATGGTGTGCTCCACCATTTTAGTAAGTCTTCACTTTGGCTTCATTTGAGGATATAACCACAGCAATATTATCAATGTTAGTAACTCTCTTTTTCTTGTCTTGGCTATGAAGGAACTACCTTGTTCTGCGTTAGCTCCACCCCTAGAATCCTGCTTCTCCCGGCCCGAGAGACCAGCAAAACGTCGTCCTCCTTCCCGTTGGGCCCCACATTCCCCCAATGCCTCACAGTCTCAGTCAACCGGAGACCTGATATCCTTGGAGGAACATGGCGGACAGGAACCAGCAGTGGAGAAGCCAAAAAAATGATGCAAGTTGGCATGAATTATCACTGAATAATTCACTGTATTTTGCATTACCATACCATCATCATGACCCAATTCCTGTCCATAAGGAGAGATGTAGTTTTCCCAAGGTCAAAGAATGTTTAAAAACAAATAAACAAAAACAACACAGCTGCTGAATGTTCAACCTGTGAAACAGAAATGTTTCTAGAATGAAACAGTTAATGTGCCTGTAATAACTTAATTTTTTTCATAGCTCAAAAAACTATTTTTGTCTCCATCTTTTCTACACACAGTATATTAAACAAAAGGTTAATAAGATATAAATTTAAAGAGTAAGAATTTTAAAAATGTACATTTTCAGAGATTCTGAATGCGCTCGCTCCCCAAATATTGACTGCCTTTTTGTTCAATTTGTACTGTTCCATTTTGGTTTGGTTTATTTCCATGTTGACTTAGGGTGTTTTAAGTTAATTTTGTTCTATTTTGATGTCGGTGTTATTTTTTTAAAGGAAGATTCTTGAAATGTTTAAGATTATATGAAACATTAAATTTTATGTAGAAAAGAAAGCAATTTAGCTGACTAGAATGGTATTCAATAGACTGGAGGGAATACAGGTCAAACAAACACACAAACAAAAAGTCACAAAGAAGGCCTCTGAAAGGCTTATGATGTTAGCTATATAATCCACACGCCATGCTTGACCTGCATGCCTTTGGGTTCCAAGCTCTTGCGTGCATGTACATACTGCTACTGTACTCTGACCATCGCCTAAATGTGAGCCAATATGTTTAACTGTCGTGTTGTTGTGAATTTCCCTGTACTGTACTTTTATTGTTGGTACTATTGCATTGAAGCAACAAATACAACACATTTTTAAATCGTTGTTAAAAGTTCAGCTAGCAATGTACGGTGTTTACTGAGAACTTCCTTGCTTGGAGAATATATTAAGAAAAGACATGAGAATACCAAACTGTAAGAGATGGTCGTGTCACTGTATAAGACTGTGGTGAAATAAAAATAAAACCCTTGGTATTTAAAAAAAATGGTAGAATGGCCTAGGTTTTTTCTCCTCTCCCGTGTCTTCCATCCTTTTTTTGGTGATTCAGTCAAATAAGTTTGTTAGATAGGGATCTAGGTACTGTGTCTAAAAAGAATGCATTGGGTGGAATAGAGTATATAGTAGCCTGGTATGCATACTCTACGTGGATCCTGTTACAATTTAACTCTTATCTATATATAAGAGGTTTACCTGGCTAGAGACTAGGTTTTAGCCATACCAGAGATAAAATATAAAGAGAGAAAAAAAGATGTTATTTGAGACTCTTGGGGTTAAAAAAAATGCTAATTCCTCTATTTATAGGAGATCCTTAGCTAGGAGGCTCATTCAGGTCAGGAAGTGAAAAATCTCAAGCAAACAAGTGTTCTCATGCCTGATACTGTTGCTGAAGCTGTTGAGCCCAAACCCACATTTCTGAATGGGGGAGCAGGTGGATGTTAAGGGAAGAGTTACTTTAAATCACAATTCAGTCAAGTGGTTGGACCCTTTGGGAGACCATGAATTTGTACACTATACTGCACAAACCACCAGTGCATTGGATAGAAGTATGCATTGATAGGTAAAGTCCTATGGAACTAATCGTGTTTTTATCATAGAAGGTAGACTCAGGTCCAACAAACAAGAGAGAAGGGAGTCTCCACCTATACCATAACCATACCTTTTTCTGTGGTTGAATAATCATCTTTGGTCTCACAGATGCTAGAGGATGGAGCAGGATCCAGAGAGATGAAGGGAAACTTTTCTAGCTAGAGCTTTGATGGTAACTAGAAAAGAACCAAGAGTTTCATTCACCTTGAAATGATCTCAAATGACAACAGAGTAAGAAGAAGAGCAGGTCATTGAGTGAGATGCTCACACAAGGGCCTATGTCCTGAAAAAATAGGTGATAAAACACAAAACCACCAGACCCATAACTACCATCAGTTCAGTCAACAAACACTCACAAAGCATCTACTGTGTGCCAGGCATTATGTAAAGTAGGGGAGGGGGGGAATAAAAACAATCATTTCTTTTTCCTTTCAAAAAGCCTGCCTTCTATTCAGTGAAACAAAGGGTACAAATGGAAATGTAGGGTGTGTTGCCCGTATAGGTTATACATGTCCCCATGGGTTTGTCTAAATGTGGCTCACAGGAAAGCTCTGATAGATAAATCTGGAATTTTTCTCATCCCTCTCTAAAAAAGACTTGGAATCCTACCTGAAGGAGTTTAGGAGAAAGGACCATAAGTGGCCACACTCTTCTGGAAACTAGACTAGAATTACATTTATTTGCTCTCCAAAGTATTGCTAGTCAAGGGAATTAATTTTTTAGGTTCACACTATCACTTAAAGGGGAAGGGATAACCCAAGCTTATATCTGCAGACTTTGCTCCTTGCCAAATGCACACATACACACACACACACACCACAAGCACATATTTTTTAAAAATATACAAAGAGTAAATAGCAAGTAAATTTACTTATTCAAGCAGATAGAGCAAATGAAATCAGAGAGGTAGAAAAGACACAGAGTGAATAAGCTCTTTGGATTGGAATGAGTTGAGATTTCTTTCAACCAAAAGCCAAACTGGAACTCAGGGATGTGTTGAGGTGTTGACTTTCCCTTACATGTCTCTTCATGGAGACTATCCGGAACCACTTGTGTCCTCTTTTGAAACAGGAATGAGGAAAAACGTCTCTCCTTTCCAAACTTCTCAGGCCAGCTTCACTCTAGAGGTATGCAGCCATTCTTTCCATGAATGAGAAGAGTCATACGCCAGTATTCCAGGCTTAAATTTTGGGAAAAGTAAGTAAATACCAAACAAATAAAAAGTAATTTCTTAGACTGAACTAACAACTTGGAGTACCAGAAATAGAGCATTACCAAAACAATACGCACGTGTGTGAGACAAGGAAGGACATCACTGACCTAGGGGAAACACAAAAATTAAGGCAATATAAAAACCAAATGTCAAAATCTCCAATGTTCACATAACAATAACCATTTTTTAGTGAAGATAAACCAATGGACTAGATAGCACTAGGAATCAGTGGACAGCAATTCTATCTTCAGCCTTGCCAGAAACTGAAAAATCACAAAAGTGCTAGCCCATAATTCTAATTTACAAAATAGAAATTAAGGATATAAAAGACCAGCCTAAGCAAAGTCACAGAGGCAATACTGAATCAATGAACTCCACTAACTTACTATGCCTGAGGAGAAGGGAGCAGGTTATACGTGTCTCTTTCTAATTGAGAACACCACCATCTTCTCGGCCGCTCAGTTTCAGCATCTCAGAGCCATCCTAAGCTGTTCATTCTCCCTTAGCACCGCATCGAAGCAGTTGCCTTGAGAACAAGGACCTGACCCCAGAATATGCTTTCCAACAATCCTCCACTCTCCATTACTCCCAAACTAATCCAGACCCCTCATCATCTTTCACAGAGATCATGACTATGGCCTCTTGCTTGTCCTCTGCCACAAGTCTCTCCCCTCTCCTATATAGCCTTTACGCAGCTGCTCTATGTCACTATCCCATTCAAAAACTCTTAACATCTTCCTGTTGCCTACAGAACAAAAGATAAACTCCCTGGTCTGATATTTAAAGCTGATGACAACCTGCCTTTTACCTTCTGGCCTTATTATACATTATAACCCTAAGTAGTGCAGAGGAAGCTGATAGTGCAATGAATGGAGTGCCAGGCCTAGAGTCAGGAAGACCCAAGTTCAAGTTCAGCCTCAGACACTCGTTAGCTGTGTGACCCTGGGCAAGTCATTTATTCTCCATCTGCCTCAGTTTTCTAGACTATAAAATGGGGGAAACAATAGCACCCACCTTGCAAGCTTGTTGTAAGGATCAAATGAGAAATCTATAAAGATCTCTTAGCACATAGTTGGCACTGTATAAATGTTTTTTGGCTTCTCCTACCCCAATTAATAGAGCAAAGGACCTAGAGTCAGTTACACTTGAGCCTGAATTCTGCCTTGGACACTCTCTAGCTGTGTGACTTCAGGAAAGTCACCTAATTTCTTTCAGCCACAGTTTCCTCATCTGTGAAACGGATAAAAACAGTGGTGGTTCAGCACATAAAGAACCAGGCCTAGAGTTCAAATCCAGCCTCAGACACTTATTAGTTGTGCAACCTTGGGCAAGTCACTTCCCCCTGTTTGTCTCAGTTTCTTCATCTGTAAAATGAGCTAGAGAAGGAAATGGAGGGGGCAGCTAGGTGGCGCAGTGGATAGAGCACTGGCCCTGAAGTCGGGAGGACCTGAGTTCAAATCCGGCCTCAGACCAAACACTTGACATTTACCAGCTGTGTGACTCTGGACAAGTCACTTAACCCCAATTGCCTAAAAATAAATAAATAAATAAAGATAAATAAAAGAGAAGGAAATGGAAAACCACTCCAGTATCTCTGCCAACAAAACCCCAAATGGAGTCATGAAGAGTCAGACACAATTGAACAACAACAATAACAACATCACATAGTTACAAGGATAAAATACGATATTACGTGTGGAGTGCTTTGCAAACCTTGTAATGATGATGAGGATGATGAAATACCATGTGATCTAGCCAACCTGGCCTTCTTGTTGTTTTTCACATGGAACATTCCATATGCTGTCCCTACACTTTTTCTCAGTCTCTTCCCCGTAGAATGTTCTCCCTCTTTACCTCTGCCTCTTAGATACCTAACTGCCTTCTATCCTCTATATGAGGCCTCTCCTGATCCTCCATCCGCTAGTAGCCCCCTCTAAATTTCCCTTGTATTTATATTGTATATATTCTATGTGTATTTACACATGTAAATATATAGAGAATATATATATATATTCTCTATATATTTACATGTGTAAATACACATAGAATATATACAATATATACAATATAACATGTGTACATGTTATCTCACCTGAGATAACATAAGCTCTTCAAGGGCAGGGGACTAGGTCCCTGGTACCTAGCACAGTGCCTGGTACATAACATGCTAGCTGACTAAATATATGTCTACTATATTCCCAGAACTATCTGCTATGGAGGACATGGGGGACGTAAAAAGGAGATCACACAGCTAGGTCCCCATTAGTGTGAATAATGAGTCTCCTGAAGTAGTTGTATGTATTTAAACTCACACTATTTGAACTTGTGATTATGTAAAATACGGCAGACCAATAGAAATAATTCAATCCAAATTCAAATAATGAGACTGCTTTGGAGATTCATTATCCAAATTCGTCAAGACCTAGATTTAACAATTAGGTGCTAAACTTCTTGATACTACCATTATCCTTGGTTCAAATCCCAGCCCTGTCACTTATCTGACAGACCTTAGTCACTCAACCTCACTGGGGCTCGGTTTCCTCACCCGAATAATAAGAGGAGTGGACTAGATGGCCCCCAAGATCCTTCCCAGCTCTAGAACTTGATCCTACAATATCATGAAAAGAAGAGGGAGGTCACTCGGGGCTGGAGGAGTTGGACAGAGCTTGATGAAAGAAGATGGGGTTCAGGTAAGCAGGACGGTATTGCACAGGGTAGGTAACAGCAGAAGCAACAGCAAAAGAGAGGTAGAACTGATTATGATGCGTCTAGGGAATAGTAATTACAAGATAATAGGGTCATTTGATCTTAGATTTAGAAATGGTAGACTCCTCACAGGCTATCTAGTCCAGGGATTCTTAACTTTCTTTGTATCATAGATCCCTTCTCATAATAATGCTCTTAAGTGCATTAAATAAATACACAGGATTATAAAGAAAACCAATTACATTGAAATATAGTTATCAAAACATTATTAAATTAAAAAAACAAATTTACAAGCTCCAAGTTGAGAAGCCCTGTTCTAATCAAATTCCCACCCCATTTCACAAATGAGGAAGCCAAGTGACTTGCCCAAGTTCATGCAGGTAGGAAGCATCCAAGGCAGAAAATGAACACAGGTCCTCTGTGAAACCAATACTCTTTCCACTTCACCATGCTGCTTCCATAATGGAGCAGAT